TTTAAACAGAAGATGAATTTTGTTCCTTTAAAATTCTATCAACTTCTTAACTTTTCTATCTGAACTCTAGGAAAAGTCAGTATCACCTCTAAGCACAAATTCTGAAAATCTGTGCTAAACTGAACTGCAATAGTTAAGGGTATGGCTCAAAATCATGTGAAATATGTCTTCTATTTTTCTCTATATATCTGTGAATGTTCAGTGTTTTATTTTTAACTGTTTTTAACTCCCACAAGCTTTTTATCTCAGTGACAGTGGAGAGCAAGAAAAGACCCAGCCTGACAGGGAACAATAGGCCCCAGCTCTCTCTAGTCCTGTAATGTGAGCATTTTAAGCTTAAAACAGAATTGGATGTTTAAATTATTTTCATTTTCTACCATGCCCTCCTTCATTTAAAAAAGTGAACTAGGAAAAGACAGGAAACCATGTAATGAGAAAAAAAGCAATTGTCCTTCTCAATCTGTAAATATGTTCCCTTCTTTCCCAAATATCATATTCACTTTTGTGGATTTTTTTTTCAGCTTATTTGAGTTTGTTGGTACATTTTAGGGATACAGTACAGTAACATTCATTGTTGAGATCTTGTACCTCTACGTGACAAGTCTTGGTTCTCATTTTTTCCCCTGGTCCCTGCCTGCCACATATTCACTTTTGAGCCAGCACGTGAAAGATACCTTCAGTTGACCAGTTTAATACCCTTGGAAAACCCAACTTTTCTTTCTCTGCTCATCTCTAGTTATTCTCAAGAAAGAAGGTCATATGTACTAGTCTTATCTTCAATATTATAAAAAAATTACTATTAAATTCATGTGTATGTAAGCCACTAAATGAGGATTCCTGACTAAGAAATTGATCCTTATTCAGAATTAATGCTTACCGCACTGATATTTATGTGTATGTTTTCTCCACGTAATACATTAATTTGAGCCTAATAGTAAACTTCCTATAGATTGGAAAAATTGGACTTAGCTACTAGAGCCACTGACCTGGTTAAAAAAAAATCTATAGAAACATCTGACACTGTGAAATAAGACACTAATATAATGAGCACTCATTTCCCTCCAATGCCTTGTAGTAAACCATATTTATTATTGCTAAGTTAAATGAGTACATGACTGGAGTTTTTCTCTACTTCCCACCCCCAGGAACTTTAGAAATGGTTATGTACTAAACCATTACAGAGTCCATCTGATTTATGACTGTGTTACCGAAGCTGTTGAACAGTTAGTAACAATACAAACATTTCCAGGTGCCTTTAAAAATATAATATCATTTTTCTTAATTCTTACTATGCCCCCTCCAACAAATCAGTTTTTGTGCATGCTCACTACAGCATGGGACTATAATACAACACACAGATAAGCTGCATTCTGCCATAAGAAAGTCATCAGTTTGTTTTTCCTCTTCACGTCTGTTCTTAGATTGTCAATACCAGATAGAGAAAGCAAAAATGGAATGGAAAAGGGACAGAAACATCCTTTGAGGCACCTATAAATAGTCATGTGCATTGATATTGTATCAAGCACACGTATCATCTTTTATATGCTGGGCCTACTTTTGGTAGTGTGTAACGAATAAGGTAAAAATCATATTCCTTAAAGCTTATTATGAGCATAAATGGCAGAGAAGAAAGTGGCCCATTAATTAGCAAATTAACCCTTGCCCATGGTTTCATAATCTATATAACATCTTTAAAATAAGCAAAATAGATCAGTGAGGTTTTTTTTCCTTACCATGAATTTGTGAGCTGGTATACTAGGATGAATTTAAGTCAAAATTTCAAAAATGATTCATTTTGAAGTAAAGCTTTATCTGTTTCATACTCCTCGGAGCCTTTAAGTCCCTCCTCTGGCAAAGATGGGACTGCACACACTCGAAACAAGAGCTAGCAGAGATCTCTGGCTCAAATGAAAAGTGGATCAATGTCCTCTTCATAAATGAATCAGAGACTGTCCAGTGCAGTGGAAGGGGTTATATGAATTCCCAGGATTATGAACAGTCTCAATGAATTAGGCAACTGAGACACTCTTCTTGAATATTTCTTAGCCACCTCTGGAAAAAAAAACCTTATCATTGAGGACCTTTAGCCAGCCTTGAGCTCAATTCATACATATGAAAATTCTTTTTCACCCAAGAATCCAGATATAATGTTTGGAGACAGAAGGATGACATACACTTGCAAAACCCATTTTATAAAATATGACTTTGTTTCCTGGCCTGGAGAATCTTGGGTTTGCCCCCCTGAGGAAAAGGAACATGTGAATGTGGTTGCAGAATGATCTCTTGATCCTTGGACAAAACTGAGGGAAAAGTCTAACAAATGCATCGTTTTGCAGTAAATTAGATCAGATTTCCGCATCTCCGCACTCAGTCTGTGAGCTGACAGTTCAGTAAAATGTTCCCTTGTAAGGTTCGCCCTCTTAGGAAAAGGGGCAATAATTCATCATTAGGATTTCAGAGTCCAGGTGTAGATAGAAACTGATGGAGCCTCCAGCGAGGCAGGGAAAGTGCGTGGAAGAAGAAAATTTTATCTGAAGCCTAATTCCCTGGTTACAGCAGAGAATAATTAAGATAATATTGCTTCAAGAGTCCTTTAATGATTAAAAATCACATATGCAGAATCCATAAATCGGAGGGCAACAAATTGGAAGGCTATAACGTCAGAGAACTGTTTAGCGCACGTTGTAGTGGAAAGTATACCAGTGGCATTGTGCCGTGTGGGCAGCCACCAGAGACCGGGACCATTCCAAGGACTTTGTTTAGATGCAACAAATCATTTGTCTGTTATTAACCCAGAGCTTGTAATTATGCAGATTGCCATAGATTTTCCTGGGCCTGGAAGTGAGATTGAGGGTTGTTCACAGTGTAGCAGGCAGCTCAGGGCTGGCCATGCATTACTGAACTTGCCACATTTATCATGTTGACTGATGGCAGCAGAAGCAGGTCTCAGGTCCCAGTGGTTAATGTAGTGGGTAATTAACTGTCATTTGCCTAGTAATAGGCTGATGATCAATGGTTTGTGTGGAAACAAATTCTAATCAGGTAGCTGATAAATGCTCAGCTAGAGAGAGCAATTGAAATTGGGAGAAACTAGGTCCAGAATTTCAAAATGGCATTGTGTGCGTGTTTATTAGGAATGTGCAAACTGAGTAATTCTTAACAATGGCTTTATCTCATATTAGCCAGATTTTATATCCATAAATATATCTGTATCTCTGGAATAAAGGGCAGTTATGTTTTCCTCATTTCTCAAAGACAATAAAGAACAGAAGAAGCCGATGGCACACATAAATGATCGGACTCCTGAGCAGACCATGTGAGGTACACTCAGAAATCCATGTTAAATTTGAAAAACGGACTGAAAAAATTCTGCTCACAGAAGAATAGGATGAAAGCTTTAGTTTGCGATGGTTTCATTTTTAATGATGCCAGTAACAGATGTGAAATATTCTATTTTCAGTGGAGTTCTTTTTAAGGAGAAATTATCCCTCAAATTATGGAGCTTTACACTGAGAACACACAGGTTATTTGAGTCATGCTTTCTTTACAGCAAGCACTCATTAAAGAAGAAAAGCTTCAAACAATTTTGAATTAAATCTTCTCAACTCTAAGTCTTGCTTACCTGTATCACGTCCTCAGGTTACGTTAGCACACTGTTTAGAAAGCATCTGCAGTTTCTACCCTCAAGGCGCTTACGTTTTTCAAGAGACAATCTAAGAAAAACAGGAGGATAAACATTTATCGCACACTTTGCCAAACATTTAGACACCACTTTCTCAACTCTGTCCAACTAAACTGACATTAGCCTGGTAAGACGAAATGGTTACAAAGCTAAGGGCGAACATGCATCCCTTAAAGAAAGGCTTATCTTTGGAGAATGCAGAAAGTAGTGAGAAGAGAGACTTCACGTGTTTGTGTGTGATGCTTCAATTTAATAAAATGAAAGGCTAAGATTTTTTAAAGTACATTTTTATAACCAAAATGAGTTTTCTCCATAGCACCTTTGAATTCATTACTTTAGAACTGCTTTTAATTTGTTCTTTCCCATGAGAGCCATTATATTTTTCCTCCTGTCAGCCTGATGCTGGAGAAAAAAAGGAAACTGGCAGATGTGGTGTTTTTCATCTAGTTTGCTCCCTAGTTAAAAAGTGCATTAACTACTACGACGCACAAAATATTACTTGTAATAAGTCTTCGCCACCATTAACAACTTTAAAGGGACTTGTTTTAAATAGTACCAGTACACTTGGAATAAATAATTCTGTTTCGTTTCATTATGAAATGATAAGATGTTTTATTGTGCACTATTTTTAGGTCATTACAATAACATTTTCAGGTATCTACAGCAAATAGGATTTAAAAAAAAATATTTTCTTTCCAGACAATTCCAATGGTTCTGACAGTATATTATGTTTCAGCTCCTCATCTGGCTCTGTATATTTTACAGCTTCATTTACTTTAATGTGCTACCTGAATAACATAATCATAGCTGTAGCTATGGTACAGGGCCAGAAGGTTCATGCCCTCTATATTTTTTTGACTATTTAAATGGCTTGGTTATAAATGTACTTTAATAATAATGGCAAACCTTTTTGTATCTAGTTGTTAAAAAAAAAAACAGCGAGTTGTTCAAATGGGTTCCTTTTCCAACTACAATGTTTAACATATAATGTTAAGATCAAAGTTACATTGCTTTTGTACTTATTGTATATGCCAACAAGTACATTTTTGCTGTAAATTCACCCCTGTTGACTTCTGTTTGTCAGCGGTTACATAAGCTTCCTAATGTATTTACTTTTACCTTTGCTTTTCAAACAAGATGTGATTTTCATTAAGAAATGTCAACCGAGTATGCCTTGCAGAATAGCATTTATATATACACTTTGTGTACATCGGAAGGCATTGTGTATCGATAGCTTTACAGGGAATATTAATGTGTTCTGTATGCAGAATCTCAGATTTCCCTGAGTTTGAAGAAAAGCATGTTTTTTTTGTTTTAGGCTGTTCGGTGTAACAGGAAACTGTGCTGCCTGTAGTAAGCTCATCCCTGCCTTCGAGATGGTGATGAGAGCCAAGGACAATGTCTACCACCTGGACTGTTTCGCCTGTCAGCTTTGTAATCAGAGGTGAGCAGGTTTCTTCTCATAGCTGGAAAAGCTCTTTGGGTCGGCTATCGACTTAATAGGTGACAACGGTAGGGGGATGTGGGTATACTTCACGTGAGTAGTAATTAATCTCAGTACTTTTTCGTATTTTTTGCAAAAATGCAGTCAGTGCCTGAAACAAGGCAAGGGAGTGGAAGGCCCTAAGACCAACTTGGGAAGAAATGCACCCTGTAAGAGCACATACCCAAACGTGGGATACCTTCATTAACTTTGGGGCTTATTGTTTATTCTTCTTTTTATTGGTTTTCTGGCTTTCTAAGAGTTTGCTTAAAATATCTTTACTCTTTTGTGCTGCTTTTGAGAACAAGCAAATGAGAATTCAAGCAAATATACCAGAATTTGTAATGGGTATTTTGTTTCCATCTTATTTATTATATGTATAGCTTACCTCTGTCTTGATATCTTCTCTGGAACGTTAACCCTGTTCTATATGTACTTTTTAAGTTGTCTCAAATCTCTTTGAGGGCAGAGCCAGATAGAGATAATAATTATACAGTTACCAGCATTGGAGAGCAGCAAGGGAAAGAATTTTGCACAATGAATCTAGAATCTAATTTCAGCCACTCTACCTTTCTTAGCTTCATTTTTCTATATTTGTAATGCAATGGAGGGCCAGGGAAAGCAGTGCAGCACCTGTCTGGCAATCTCAAGGCCCTGAGTTCAATTTCCAGTACAAAAAAACCAAAAAACAATAACAACAAAAATCACAGTAATGTAAGGTAAGGAAGCTGAATTAGTCAATTTCAGAACCTTTCAACTCAAAAGAATTATGACTTTAACCCACTTTTTATTATTGAAATTTTACTTTTATTTCCAGAGAGGTATATACTCTTTTATGTGATAAATGCAGAGAATTCAGAGGACTAAAATACATACTGTTAAAATATAATACTTAAAAATTAGTATGCTTGATGAATTTTAATGAAAATATAGTCTCTGAGGACACATAGACATAGTACATAACCAGTAAATGTTAGTTCCATCAAGTTTGTGTGATTTGCCCTCAAAACTCCTGCTCAATGCAAAGTTTTTTTTAATAAGGTCCTGTAGAATAGTATAATGAATATCATGTTTATAGTAAGAATTAGATTCAAATATTAATATTCCAGTATACAGACCACTACAATTTTTTTCTATGTATATAATACAGATTAGATGTACAATCTACTTTATATTATACCCATGTTTAAGCTGTTTCTTAAAAAAGTAACAGAAAAGAATCTTAGTGTTTGAAATGTGGACTTCCTTGCTTGTTTTAAATTCCTTTTTACCATTGTTTAAAATTCTTTCAAAGTATTTTAAGCTATCTTGTGTTCAGGCTTACAGCTGTAGCACTGCATATTATAGCACTCTTGTGTCATCTGATGTGTAGGTTGTTTCTTCAAAAGTTTTTCATTTATCAATCTAATATGGCTTCTATAAACAAATCCTCAAATCATATCCAGATAAATTCACAGGAGGATGATAAGTTAGACCAAGGGCACAGCAGTTTGAAGGCTTATGTTACACATTGCTAAAATATTTTCCCCAAAAGTTATGCTAATTTTCTCACATCAAAACCTACTAATGCCCTCTCACATACTCTAACACTGGAAATTATTATTTTTCAAAAAAATTCTTTTAACTTTTAGAAATGGAAATTGGTAACTCATTATAGTTTTTGATTGGTATTTATTTGGTTATTAGTGGCCTCTAGTATTCTTCTTTTAGAGAACTGCCTATTGATGTCCTTTGTCTATTTTTCTATTAGGGAAGTCTTACCTGTTTTATCTGGCTTCTGCACAGAAAATGAAAACATCATTCAAGTGCTACGCTCAGCCTAAATTCTATTATGATGCAAAGTAATTGTAGGAGGTTAATACCATTTACAAATCATCTACCAATTTTATTTCCCCATTGAAATAAAAAGTTGCATTCACAATTAAGTCTATCTCCTCAGAAGAACTTAGTCAAGTAAGACAAACACTCCTAAATTTTGACTCTAAAACTGTTCACATTCTTACGGCTGCAAAATACTGTTCTGGTATCGTTATTAAAGTACCTAATATATTTCTGTGTTCGCTTCATTTATTACATGCCATAATGGGCTGCATATCTTTGGTGCTGGTTATGCACAATTAGTGCTTAGTTATTGTCCCATCACTTCAGCCCCAGCAAGACAAACTTCTTTAATGCAAGAAGTCAACTAATCTTCGTCAAGCAAAGCAGACAAATTCTTGAATACAGAAAGCTGTCAACACAGGCTATCGATTCTCCTTTTGCTCTGTAGTTTGCGTGGGTAGTTTCTTAGCAATGCCATATCCCACACAGCCCTATTTTTTCTGTACCCAAATCATTTTCTCAGTATTGCATCTTTTCCAAGAAAGCGTGAGGTAAACTGGTAATCTACAGCCATTTTCCCTCCAGCAAACTTTCCTGGCATCTGAAATTGGGGTATTAGAAATATTTCTGACTTTATTCAGCCTTTTGGCTTTAACTTTTAAAATCAAATTATCAAAGCACTGTAACTGTACTGTATCCCTAAAATGTACCAATAAACTCAATTAAAGCTGAAAAAAATTATCAAAGCACTTGTGAATGTGTAAAAGAACAACAACAACCAACTTTAAGAGTTTGCTGCCCTTTCTTTAGATCTTTGACCTTTTAGTGGGTTATGAGTAAATATGGGAATCCTAGATTTAAAACATTAAAGCTTCTCTATTTTATTTATTTTTGGGGGGGGTATTTTGTTTTATTTTGTTTGAAACAGGGTCTCCCTATGTAGTTGAGACTGACCTGGAACTCACTATGCAGTCCAGGCTGGTCTCAAACTCACAGTGACCCTCCTGCCTCAGCCTCCCAAGTGCTGGGATTACAGGCGTGTGCCACCACACCCACCCAAAGCTTCTCTATTTTAAAAAGTAACCACAGAAGAATTATTTTGAGCCTCCCTTGTGAAAATGTATATCTCATTCAAATTTGGAAAAAGTCTATAAAATGGATTCATTTTTTAAAAGGTGAATAAGTATCTCCTCCTCAGAAAACTCAGTAGTAATAATAAATAATGGTTGTACTGTTGGAATATTGGTAGGGGAAAATATGTAATTTGTAATGAAATCTCCCCAAATATGTGCCACTGCATACCGTTTCTTTTTCTTTTATTAAAGCATAGAAACACTATGCTAGGCTCTTTGGAAGTTGGGGCACATAAAATCCAGTTTCTTTCCCTTTTTTAGACTGATCAGAGTCATCGGAGAAGCAAAAGACTCACAGAAGAGAGTAGTTCATGTTAAATAGATCTATGTTGAGGAAAGACAGCATCGTCCCGGAGTTCGGGGATGCATCAAACTGCTGACATGCTGGGTTTTAAGACAAAATTCCTTAGGACTAGGTGGGGTACAGGCAGTGGGTCTGACGGGGACTGGGAATCAGGAAAGGGCCAGGGAGAAGAGTTTTCCAGGCAGACAGCATAACATGCCCAGGCGTGAAGATGGGAGAGCGCGAGAGTTGCTCAGCCAATGAGAACCAGCTGAGAATGCTGCGATTAATAGTTTGGAAGGGATGTAAAGCAATAACTGAGAGGAGATGAAATTGTAAAGGAGGCGTGTCACTGAATGAAAGCCAATATGAATACAAATTTAAATTATTTACCTAAAATGCATTTGCTATTTAAAATTCTTGTTTTCTGAAATAAAAGTATCCACCAGAATTTATGGACCATGCATCAACCTTAAGCAGTAGGACATCTATCATGGTACTGCTGAGAATTCCAAAGAAAGATGATTCGCTGGAATTTGCCTCAGAACTGCTGTCCAGATTGGGAAACCTGTTACACATTCATGAGAAAATTTGAAATGCCAAAGTAAATGATATGCTAGCAAATATGTGCTTTAGGAGTGATCAGAAGATCAGGAAATATTCATGGAGGGAATGGAAACTAAAGATTTTTTATAATTTAAGTAGACAGAAAAAAATGGGAAATGTTCCCATCTAAAAACAGTGTACATAGTCTTTTTTATTAATAAAAAACTTATCATTAATAAAACATAGGAAATTCATATACATAGTGCTAACCATATAAAGGCACTATTCATAGTGTTTGCCTAAGCTAACTCATTTAACACTGAAAATCACCCAGATGTGGGGACTGTTAGTGCCCTAATAAGCAAGCTATCATACAGAAAAGTTTAAGTAACTTGCCCAAGATTACACAGTTAGGAGTTGGAGGACTCAAGATTTGAGCCTCCAAAGTGAGGCTTTATTTACCCTTTGAACCCAAGCTTGTTTTAATGGAGGTATCTTACTTCCTGATGAAAAGAATACAAATGTGAAAGCTATTACAGAGTTAAAGTGAGGTTGATTTCAAATAATCTGCAAGTTTATGGGTAATGTTAGGAAGGAGATTTGGAACATCGGGAATGTCAGTGGGGAAAAGACAGTGAATTTCTTCGCAAGCGTTACAGTGATAGAAAGAATATATCACCTGTACCTCTTACTAAAAATACACTATTAATATATCGTACTATGGCCATCTCTATTTTACTATGTATAAATGTATTAATATATTTTTATAAAACTGAAAATTTGCTTTTCTTACAAAATCACAGTGATGGATTGTTTTGTTAAGCATGTAGTAGCTACAGTGCTATTTCTCTAATACCCTCGTGTTTACGTATGCAACATTTTTAAGAAAAGAGTGTCAATCTGAACTGTAAAGCAGCTATAATCTGTTCTTAACCACTGCTATCAAGGCTTTTTTTTTCTTTCTAGTTATATGTGTGAGACATTCTTAACTGTGTTGTTTCACCTTGACCTTTGAGTTTAAACTGAAAAGTAGTTGACAGCATATTAGCAAGATATTTTAAGTAGGACTGTATTAGATAAATATATTCCTTCCTCTCTCAATAGAGAGATCTGTCTGAAAACTGTTCAGTGAGAAGTGCGTGAGATCTCTCACATTTTATTGAATGGTTGGCAGACTTTTTAAAAGTTATGCAAATAAATAACAATAATAATACAGAAGCTTGTGTAACTATTCAACCTTCATGCTATACTTCTAGTCTATATGCTTTACTGCCCATGTGTAAAAGCATGAGTCTTGAATCCAAAGTGGCCTGTGTTCTTTTTCTTCCTCTTCTACATATAATCAAGGTATAGAATGTTGGGCAAATTTTTAAAAATTCTGCGAGGGAGTCTCACATTTTTCTTCTGCAAAAGGCAGTGGTAATACTTTTTAGTTTGGGTGTAAGGAATGATATATATACAATATATATCATATATATATATATGGCAATCAAAACATGGGATGAATGTTTACTTTTTTTCGTTATTTAGAGAACACTTTATTAGTTTCTGTAATCAAACCCATGTAGATAAGACCTTACATATTTAATACAGTGCATTACCCCTGTACAAATGGAAAAACAAATGAACATTTCTAGACCAATATGTGTGTGT